CACCCCTTCTCTCTCTTTCCCTCCCGATCAAACTTGTAGAACGAGCGGTCCTCACCTCTTGATCCTACTGCCTTAACATCCAGACCCCTGATAACTTGGCATCTGCTCCCACCCCACCAGCCCAACACACAACACCCATGGCTCCCGTTCTTTATATTCAAAGTTTTGCAAAGCCTGACACTCCCTCAAAATTCTCTGCTGCTTCTACCTCTAGTCAGGTTCTGTCTGTTCATCCTCTTACATCTTTTCTTTAGTGTTGATACCTTTTTTTTTTTTTTTTTTTTGGTTGCTCTGGGTCTTAGTCTCGGCACACAGGATCTTTGTTACGGCGCGCGGGATCTTAGTTATGGCATGCGGGCTTAGTTGCAGCATGCAGGCTCTTAGTTGCGGCATGCATGCAGGATCTAGTTCCCTGACCAGGGATCGAACCCAGGCCCCCTGCATTGGAAGTGCAGAGTCTTAGCCACTGGACCACCAGGGAAGTCCCTTTAGTGTTGATACCTTAATGAACAGTATCGAATCATGTTCTACACTAGCCTGTCCCTGGGCTTTGGCTATCATCCACCGGTGATTATTCTGGCGCAAATCCACATCCCTAGCCCAGACCTTCCTAAACTCCAGGTTTATTTGCAACTGCCGATTAAACACTGGAATGTTCATAGGCTCTTCAAAAATGAAGTGTCCAGAATGGAGCTCACTATCTTTCTCCCAAGATCTGTTTTTCCTCCACCTTGTATTCTGAGCAGGAACCTGGCATCCCCTGACTTATGCCACCTCTCCCAGCCACTGCATCCCAAGGGGTACAACATTCTGACAGTCCTGCCTCTCGATGGGTGTCAAGTCTGCTCTCAGGACCCCATCACCTCTACTTTTTTTGGATCAAGGTAGGGGTCTTGAACACTACCCTCCAGGTTTCCTACCTCCCAGAGCTGCTCCCTGCTCCTTTCTTGCTGCCGCCAGAGGGTATCGCCAAAATCTGATCTGACCACATCACAGCATCTCCCTGCTCAAAACCTCTATAGACCTGAGGATGCCTGTGGGATCAATTCTGGACTCAGCCTGACCAAACCAGCCTCTGGCCTCCACCAGCCACACTGCACTTGTCAATACTGCCCAAACGGCCCAGCCTCTTTCAGGCATCATGGCCTTTGCCGGTGCAGTTCCTTCTACCTAGGCTGCCTTCAGCCCCTTCTACCTCAGGCAAATGTCAACTTATCCTTCAGGACTGAGTTCAAAGTTTTCTCCTCTGTGAAGCCCGCTGAGGCAGCTTGCAATTTCTGGCTCTCTATCCAGACCTAGAGTACTGACCACCACTGTCAGTATTCACTACTGTCAGCCTCCGAGGTCCACTTTAAATTCCCAATGCTTGGGCTTCCCTGGTGGCTCAGTGGTTAAGAATCCGCCTGCCAATTCAGGGGACTCGGGTTCGAGCCCTGGTCCGGGAAGATCCCACATGCCGCAGAGCAACTAAGCCAGTGCGCCACAACTACTGAGCTTGCGCTCTAGAGCCCGCGAGCCACAACTACTGAGTCCATGTGCCACAACTATTGAAGCCCACGCACCTAGAGCCTGTGCTGCACAACAAGAGAAGCCACCACAATGAGAAGCCCGCACACCGCAACGAAGAGTAGCTGCTGTTCGTGGCAACAAAGACCCGATGCAGCCAAAAATAAATAAATGAATTTATTAAAAAAAAAAAATTCCCAATGCTGAGCCCAGCAGCTGGCATTATAGGGAAAAAAAACCCATTCAAAATCACTGCATTAAATTGAAAACGAAAGCATCCTAACAAAGAGACCTGCAGCTGCATTTGAAATAGGACTGAAAAAAAGAATCCACCTTCCCAAAGCTTCCTATATTTTAGACCAGGTACTGCGCTAGCAAAGCCGTGCATTTAGCAACTAAATTTTCTCATTTTATGTGACTCTGACAAACATCCCATCAGCTAGAGGTAGCCAAGGCTTCCTGATCCTCGCTTCATGCTAGGAAGAGCCCCAAGGTCCAGATCCACACCTGCGTCCCCAGGAAATGGTGAGGTAGGTTGATGCAAACCCTGTGGGGACTGGCAACGATGTCTCTGTGGTTGTAAAGCTGGGTAAAGCAATGCAGGTGAGCAGACAGCTCTGTGTCAGGCAAGGTCCATATAAAGTCCCCCCCACCTCTTCCTGCCGGCCTTTCTCTCCACCCTTGGCTGAAAGAATCTCTCCACAGCCCAGAGGCACAGGGACTCCTGGGGCAGGAAGCCCCCCTACCCAGAAGAGAGAATCTGGACCCTCCCCTTACTTGCTCCCCAGTGTCAAGTAAGGCCTGCAAATGTCCTGGAACCCAGCGCAGCCCAACTCACAAATCATGAAAGTTGCGCGGGGAAGAGGCTGGGGTGAAGACATCCAGGAGTCCGATGACCTGGGGAGAAGGTTGCCAGTGAGGACGGGGCAGCCGCTGCCGCCCTCTGCTCCCCTCCTCTGGGGCCCCAGGCCTGCACAGGACCACCTGCCCTTTCCTAAAACACCATCTCCAGCAGGAGGCAGGTTCCCAGCCTTCTGGGAAGCAGTAAAAGGGGCAGAGGTGGAAGAGGAATTCCTCTAATTGGGAGGGAGTTTGCAGTGCACAGTGATGTCAGGCTGGGGAGAAGGGGAGGTGGACACTCCTGGGCTCACTGACCCCAAGTCTGGTGTTCAGGACAAGCAGCACAAACCCACTCTCAACTCAAGCAGGGAACCACAAGTGGTGAAAGGAATCAAGGAGGGAACAGAGAAGGGGTCTTCCAGCCAGCACGCTCCCTGCCCTTGACCTTGGGTCTCTCACCATATCCAACCTTACCTGCCAGAGGGCTGGTTCAGAGCTGGGGGCAAGATTACCCCGGCTGGAGGCCATGGGGAGGGGTTTGCTGAAGAGGAATGGGGCTTAAAATGTGAACAATATTTTGAAATCATTGTGTTAAATGCTTACCTTCCAACCTAGGTATCCTGCAGAAAAGCCTGGGCTCCAGGCCCAGCACTGGGTCATTAGTCTTCCTGGCTGTTTCAATCAGACAGGGTAGTCTAGAGGTCAGGCACTGGGGCCTGGAGCCAGGTTGGCTAGGGTCAAATTCTAGCTCTGCCACCGACTAACCATTTAACCTGTGAGTCTTTCTGTGCCTCAGTTTCCCCACCTGTATATGGGGGTAATAGTACTTATGTGATATTGTGAGGATTAAACAAGTTAGTTTATGCAAAGTTCTTAGAACTGTGCCTGGCACATAATAAGTGCTCGTAAGTATCTATTATTCTTGTTGTTATTATGTGGAAACAACGCTAACCAGGATTCTGGGCACCACCTCTTAGATCTAGAACAACTACGAAGTTCCTCTGTGCCTATTTCCTCATAACAGTGAGACAGTAAGTTCGCACCTCACCGAGTTTGTTCTGCTCCACTGCCAAAAATTCCCTTTGCACCCTTCCTGGGAAGTAGGCAGGGTGGGTCCTGGCACCTGATTTTAATAATTAGGTGAGGAACAAGGATCAAAGGAGCAGGGAGGAGATTCCCCTTCTGCTGGCCCTGTTATGAGTTCCTTGCACCCTCGTGGGCCATCTCCTGTGTGCGACACACACACACACACACACACACACACACACACACACACAGGGGCCTGGTCAGGACCCTCTGTGGGGCTGCCCTCCACTCCCTGCCTCCCAGAAGCAGCCCCCAGGCCCAGCCTACGTTCTCATGCTGCATGTGCTTCAGCAGCAGCAGCTCGCGATAGGCCCGCTTGGCAAAGATCTCGGACTGGAAGGGCCGGCTCAGCTTCTTGATGGCCACCTTCTCCCCCGACTGCTTGTCGATGGCTGAGCTGTAGGGTCAAAGGCAGGTCAGCAGGCAGTGGCTCCCCATCACAACCCTGGGACTCCAGATCCTGGGCGGTAACTCCCAGGCCATCTAGGAAGCTATGGCCAAGCTCACCCCAATCCCTCTTGGCCCGCAGTCTAAGCTGGGAGGAACTGATGCCCACCACCTGGAATGTGAGTGAGCAGCTGACAGCACAGTGGAGCTGGGAGAAGGGGGAGACAGCAGGCAGAATCTGAGAGAGGTGCACTGCCCCTGGGTCAGACACAGGTTAATGCCAACAGGATCCTGAGCAACTTGGCAAGTCACTTCTTGTTTGGGCCTCAGTGTACCCACTTGTAACAATAGGGATTCGCCCGGATGAACTCTGGGGTCCTCTGCAAGGTTCAAGTCCTGGAGAAACAGATCCAGTCCTAATTCCACCCACAGAAACTCCCACCAAGCCGGTAAGAAAAGAGAGATGGTCCCTGGAGTGGCCCTAGGCCAGCCTCCAGAGCCTGAGGCTCCCGCTGCTGCTCTACTTTACTGCCCAGCTTGCCGCCTCCTCCCAGCTCCAGGCCTCTGCCCCGGAAAGGCGCCCGCGAAGTTCTTCCAAGCCCACAGGGCTCTGGGCCTTGGGGTCCTTCATCAAGGTGGTGGGCGCACAGCCTCGAGCGCCAGCAGGAGAGGCAACACCACAGGCGGGTCCGGGAAGGGGGCATTGGCTGGGCCCCGGCTCTTCCGGAGGCTCCACCCGCGTGCCGGTGCCTGGGCGCCCACCATAGGTCCACCCCGATGCTCCAGGCACACAACCCCCCCGCCCGTGCCCCCACGCCGGCGCACAGGCCCGGGGGTCTCACCACACGGCGCCGTAGGCCCCACTGCCTACGTGCGTCAGGGACACGTAGATCTTGGGCAGCTCCCAGGCGGTCTTGTTGACGTCCTGCTTGTAGAAGCCCTTTTTCCAGGTGAAGTTCATCCCGGGCACTCAATCTCGGCGGCCCCAGCGCGATGGCTACGTTCGCGGCCCGCCAGGCTCCCAGCACCCGCCCCCGCCCGCGGTCCCCGCGGTGCCCGCCCCGCGCCGCCCGCTCGTCCCCACCCTGTGCGAGGGCGGGGGCCCCGGCCGGCCCCGCGTCCCACCTGCCGGCTCGCCCAGGTGCGCCCCGCAGCCACGCCCAGGCCTGCCAGACGGCAACCTGGGGAGCCCGATTTCCGCCAGCCCCGGAGTTTGGCGCCCGGACCACAGACCAGCTAGGAGGGCAGGTAAGCCGCCCGGCAGGGAAAGGGTGCTTCCCGTCGTGTGCTGGGGTGGGGCTGGGGGCCCGATAGACCCGAGGGGCTCCCACGGATGGCGGACGGCGGGAAGATACAGCCTCCCAGATTCCTCCAGCGCGGGACTCTGTAGGAAGATCTCCCCGGAGATTCTGACGACAATTTTGGGAAAAAACAAAGCAAAACAAAACCCCACATCTTTTGATTATGGAAAGTTTCAAACATATACAAAAGTAGACACACTAGCTCAGTGCTTCTCACGTTTGAATGTGCACACGAATCCCCTGGGAATTATATTTTATTAAATACAGATTCTGATTCAGTAGATCTGGGGTGGAGTCGATTCTGCATTTCTAACTAGCTCCTAGGCTCCGAAGGTCTCTGGACCACACTTTGATAGGGAGCTTCTAATGACCCTGCATGGCCCCAGTCCCACAGCTCCAACGCCTACATCAACTCCTAGTCAGTTCTGTTTCCTCTGCATACTTCCTCCCCCATCATTTGGAAGCAAAACCAAGCATCATATCATTTCATCCACAAATATTTTTTGTATCTCTAAAAGATAAGGATTATTTTAAAAACACAACTACAGTATCATTTTTACACCTAAAATTAATAACAGTAATCCTGTAGTAACAACTATCCAGTCTAGGTTCAAATTTCCAGTCGTGAATGTAGTTTTTGCTGGTTTCCTAATGCCTCGTGAGGGCAATGACAAGCCAAGGCCTTCTGCCACCTGTGTCTGGTGGCTTGTGCGTCCTGGAGAAGGTTCTGTGCTCAAATTAAATCACCAAGAACGCCCAGGAGCAGGGTCAGGGGTGGAGAATGGCTATAAGGCGTCCAGGTGCCTGGCCTGGGAAGGGGATTGTGGAAGGGATGGGGACCACTTGCTTCACTTTGTCAACAGTAGAGAAGAAGGAAAGGAGCTTGCTCGTGGCCTGCAGGGAGCTGGGGGTCCTCCCTAGAGAGACTTCTGGACCCAAACCTTATGCCACAGCCCCTCCCATGCAGTCCTGCAGCGTCGGGCACAGCCCAGACGATTGGGGGTTTGGGGGAGGGAGACGCAGGGATCCCACAGAAATGCCCAACAGGCATTGCAGATGGGGAATCTGTCTTACGCATATCTGGCACACAGTAGGATGTGTAAAACTATATGGAGAATGAATGGAAGAGTCAGTCCATTAAAAGTGAAAAAATATTTATTTACTGAACCTTGTGTTTGCCACGTACCAGTCATTATTCTAAGTGTTTTACACACACACCTCCCTTAATCCCGGTAAGAGGCCTATGAGTCAGTTGTAGTATTATCCTCATTTTAGAGGTGAGGAACCTGAGGCACAGAAAGGTTAAGTAACTCGCCCAAGGTCACACAGCTGGTAAGAGACAGAGCTGGGCTGGAGAAGCTAAGACCATCTGGTTTGAGACTCCAAGGCTACGCATTGTCTCTGGGTTGAGAGGCATTGCTTCTTAAAGGAGATGGCCTGTGTTTCAAATCATCTGCCTCACCCATCATAAGGACGTGTCTACTGATCAAACCATGTCTCCCTCATACATCCTGCCCTAGAAATCTGACAAACTCCCCACCCTCTCCCCTGCCCCACCCCCTACTCCAGCCCTGAGACACTATAGGAGAAGGAGGTGAGGGGCTGCGGGCCTGGGAGGGCTGCAGGGGTTTTGGGTCTCAGGGATCGGTGGCGCCAGTGGAAGGCACTCTGATTCTGAAGTTGGGGCAGGATCCTGGGAGGCAGAGTCTAGGGCTGGACACAGGCAAGAGAGAGTTGTCCGGGAGACTCAGGTTTCCTTCTGGATTGAGGATCCAGTTCTCCAGGGTAGGGATGGGCCTTGAGCCTCTGTGCTGTGTGTCTTGAAAACACAGAGGTGAGCCCAGGAAGGTATTCCTTGTGGGTGCAATCCTGCAAGGGCATGAGCTGGCCACTCAGGTTGTGGCTCTGAATGCCTCTTAAGCAATGGTCAGGAAGTGACTCAGGCCTCAGACTCTGCTGACACTGACCCCCACCTCGGCCTCCGCTGGACCTGTGTTTACTCAGCAGCCAGGCAGCCTTGGAGAGATGGCCTTGGGCGATCCTGTCTGGGAAGTCATGAATGGGAGAGGAAGAGGAGGGGTCACTGGGGGCCTCCTGGGTGTCCCCTCCCGCAGTCCCGGGGCTCTCTTCTCTTTGAGGTCTGAGGCCCCTCTGCTCTCCCCCTCCCAGACACTGGCCCAGTGTGGTCGGTTTTTGCCCTGTCAACGTCGAGGCGGGGGGTGAGGAAACCAACTTTGGAATGGAGACCTGAGTTTCCATCCTGCCTCTGCACTACCAGCTATGTGACCCTGGGCAAAGTTCCTTCCCCTCTCTGAGTTTCAGTGTCCTCCTTGTAAAATGGAAATGATATTAAAACATGATAAGTATATTTAAAGGGTCCTGGGAATGCTTCATTCCAAGTGCAGTAAAACAACAACCCAATGAGGTAGGGACTGTCAATGTCTCTAGCCAAAGATACCCAGAAACACACCTGTGGGTGAACAAACTGGGTTTGTCACTCACTGCATTGAGTGGGGAACATGCACGTGGGAACCGGGGGCGGGGGAGCGGGGTCTGTTTCTCAGTAAGAGGGTGTTGGAAAGGACTTATTGTAAGGTTTGGGCTTGCGTTAGGTAATTTGGTAGAGGGTATAAGGAAGCCGGACTTTGTTCCAGATGAGGTGCCATCAGGAAGTGGAGGTGATTCTGTGATTAGGTGTCTTAAGAAATCTTATCTGGAAGGACGGCCAACTAGGATGAGGAGAGAGCCGTAACTGGTAAGGCAGCAGCCTTCACTCAGGGTAGCTAGATGGGGGTGTTTGGTCACACCCCCACAATACTCGTGTTTTCTCTGTGATTACAGAGTGTCTTGCTTTTGTCTTGATCCTTTGTGGTCACAGATGGCCTTGTCTGCATTCAACAGGAGCACATCAAGATGAGCTGTGCTAGGCCAGCTCCGAGCAATGCCAGGGCCTGGCTGATGGGACTGGGCAGCTCCCAGGTGTCAGGATAACATTATTTCCCTAGTACAGATGGAGAAACCGAGGCCCAGAGGCATTAAGTAATTTGCCCAAAGCCACACATGACCAAGAAGGTGGTGGACGTGGTCTTCAAACCTGGTGTCCTGCTCCAGAGTCTATACGCTTAACCACCAGCCAGGCTGCCTGGCGCCCAGCAAGTGCCTGTTCTTGTAGTGCTGTCTTCCTAGAGAGCCTGTGAGCCTCTGGAGGGCAGGGACATGGTTTTGGGGTTGCAGAGTGACTTCTTAGAAACTGAGACAAAAGCCCCACATGATTATGAGGTTAGGTGCCCATCCTGGCCTCCCAGACTGCATCTTGACTCAGAAATATGGCAGCTCCTCCAACACTACAGTCCTCGCGGTCCCAAACAGCAGGGCCAGCTACTCAAATTCTATGATTGGCCATGAAGCCTCTACAAAAAGAGAAATTATGATCTACCTGGGGTCTCACAAGCATGAAACAGCAAGGCAGCCTGAGAGCTCTGGCCCCAAATCTGAGAGGGTCCCATGCTCCTTAGGGGCTTTTGAAACTCCACGAAACAATAAAAATTGCAAGGAGGTGAGGAGATGCAGAGGGAAGGCCCCCTGCATGTGGGGGCTACTCTGTGGCTTGTTAAGTTAGTTAGTGAGCCTCAGACAAATTAGTTAGCCTCGCTAAACCTTAGTTTCCTCATCTGTATAATGGGAGAGTAAGTGACAATACCCACCTCATGGGGCTGTCACGAGGACTAAAAGAGACGACAGAAGTGTCTAATTCAGTGCCTGGCACATAGTAGGTGCTCGCCAGATGCTCCTTCCCCAGTGCTGTCCAGCTTTGCCTCCCTGGCCCAGGTACCCGGCTGCTCTGCCCTTTTGCTGTTCAGTCCCAGCTGCAGAAGCAGCTCCCTAGTCAGCTCCAACTCACGTCCAACTGCTTTATCAAGTTTTTTTGCTAAATACCCAGCCCAAGGACTCATACACCCATTCATTCAACATTTACTGTGTGCCAGGGATCTAGGTGCTGAGGATGTAGCAGAAATGCAACAGGTAGGACTTCCCTGGCGGTCCCGTGGTTAGGGCTCTGCACTTCCACTGAAGGGGGCCCAGGTTCGATCCCTGGACGGGGAACTAAGATTCCACGTGCCACAGAGTATGGCCAAAAAAAAAAAAAAAGAAATGCAACAGATAATAATCCCTACCTGGTGGACCTGACATTCTGGTGGGGGAGGCAGATGAAAGACCAGTGAACAAATATACAGTATTGGGTTGAACCATATGACATGGCTGATATTTGATAATTTTTCTTTTCTTTTTTTTTTTTTTTTTTTTTTTTTTGCGGTATTCGGGCCTCTCACTGTTGTGGCCTCTCCTGTTGAGGAGCACAGGCTCCGGACACGCAGGCCCAGCGGCCATGGCTCACGGACCCAGCTGCTCCGCGGCATGTGGGATCTTCCCGGACCGGGGCACGAACCCGCGTCCCCTGCATCGGCCGGTGGACTCTCAACCACTGCACCACCAGGGAAGCCCTGATATTTGACAATTTTATATGGCTCAGTCAAATGTAACAGGTAACAGTAAGTGCTGTGAAGAAAATACTGCCAAGTAAGGATATAAAGAAGGGCTGTGAGTACTGATTTTAGATGTGGGAGGAGGGGGAGAGGCAGAGAAGGTCTGTATGAAGAGGTGACAATGGAGCAGCACCTGAATGAACGAGGGAGCGAGCCAGGCAGATCTCTGGGGGAGGAGCAGGTGGCTGCCT